GTCACTTGCAGATAAATTTTAGGTCATTGGTTACTCTTATTCACCATATTATTGGCTAAAATGATCAAAAATTGTAAGCACTACCTAAGTATGACTTCTTTGGTTTAATTGGATCATTCTTCTTTCCCATTTCTTAGAACTTGTTTGGATTGCTATTTTTCGTGATCATATTTTTTTATTTTTTTTAATATATATATTAAATCGTTACAGTAATTTTTTACCACTACGACGAAGCAAAACGGTGAACCATTTTGCTCAGGGATTGAACTGTGCAGATAGTTTCTCCTTCTCCCGCCCAAACTTCCTGTTTTTTATCTTAGGAAAGGAAAAGGGTGGCTACATCCTCTGACACCCTGACAGAAGAAGGCTGAGACGATCTCCTGTTGTCGTTAAAATCTACTACTGGCCCCCTTCCTCCTCCTTTATTTCTATCTGATTTGGCGTCTCCACCTTTTCCAACCGTCAATTTACCCTTTTTCCCCCATCCCTCTTTCCAAAGCTTGTCGAAGTACTACTCAACCTATTATTTTCAATCACCTTTTTTTTTTGTTTCTCACCATCATGTACCATCATCAGGTCACTCCACAATCCACCCCGCCATTCTGCACACATAACCTATTTGTGAATTTTGCAAGCTATTTCCCTGTCCTTTTTGCACCATTACTAAACCTGTGATTTGAGAAGCTCAGCAGCTGATTCCAATCTCGAAGTTGGTTTAGTTCATCGCCTAACTTATTGTAGAATTTATTGTTGCCACGTGGTAAAGATTAATTATTTAGACAATTATTTGCTACATAATCAGGACGCGGCAAAGGTGTATCCCAGCAACTAGCGGCTTTGCCATCACCGTTTTAATTGCATCTATTACAGAGAGATCAGCCCGTTACTTGGTAATTAAATACTATCAAATTTTTAAACTGGTCCCCTTATGCCCTCGTCTATATGCCTAGAAAAATATCTCTACCATCATGCAAATGTACACATTTAAATTTGTTACATCTTTTGCATTTAAACACTTGTAAATTAGCTTAACTTTTGAAAAATTATAACACTTGAATCATCTCTTAACGAGTGCCTCCGAAACACCCGTTAACCAAACTCGTTACTATTACCAGCCTCTAATACCCGGATCGGGCTCCTCTCGATTACATTTCTTTCCAATCATTCATATAGTATTTATTTATACCCAAATAACTAGCTCGATTTATTACGTCAATAGCATATACATTAGTAATAGTAAGTGTCTAATACTTAGATTTTAAATTCAAATTTACATTAGTAATATCTAGTAACCGTGCTCCATGTATTCTTTTGGTGAAAACAGGGACCATTTTAATTAAGTCCAATTATTTATAGACCTTACAAAATTGGAGTAGATATTAGTGATTTCATTCATTAGGTAATTAAATTGATGGTAGCAAGTGTATCTGATGCCCAATGTGTAATTGTATGGTAGAGCAGTACAGTTCAAGCGGTGACTTGTGAGACCTTTTCTTCTTAACAACTTTCAATTGCGAATTTGAACTCAGCATGTGACCTCCCTTTCTATGGCCTTCTTCGATTTTTTTTTAAGGGATAATATCAAAAACCTCCCTTGAGATTTCTCCTAATATTACTTGCCACCCCTAAAGTTTTAAAAAGATCACCTACCTCTCCTAGTAATTGCCAAAAGACCATGTTAACCCTCACTTGATACATAATTTACATATCAAATAAGTGGAGCTAAAAAAAAAAAAGCAATAAAAGTAACTTTCCTCTCTTTCCCTTTTCTTCAACATTCTCTCTTACTCATTATTTGGATGATTATGCAATTTTTCATTTCTAAATATAATAAATTGAATTTTATTTATATTTTGATTTTTAGGATTGTGATAGAGTGGGGTATGATTTATTTGCTTATTTTGGATTGATTTTTATAATAATCAGTATAAATTAAATGTTTGAACACCGATTGAGAAGAAGTTGGAAAAAATGTAAAGTTCATAAAAAATCAATTTTGAGGATATACAATTAAATTATTCAAGTGCATTTCCTCGCAAATATCTTTTTTATTTTTCAAATATATATTTTTATGGATTATAACATTATGATGTGGTAGTATTACTAGAAATTGATTATCTAGATTATAGTTTTCTTGAAATAAACAAAGTGATTTAGGAGTATTTTTATTTAGCAAGTAGAAAGGTAGCTTAGGGTTTTTAAAAAATTTGTTACACAAATAACAAAAGTAAACGAGGTAATTGATATTTTAAAAATCTTAGAGGTGTCAGGTGATATTAAGAAAAACCTCAAAGGAGGTTTCTGATATTATCCCTTTTTTTAAAACAGACACAAAGGGTAGCTTAAAAATAAAACTTGTTACCAGTTATTTCTGTTTCAAAATCCAAGAGTTATCTTGTTTATAAGCATTATTTGATCCATTTTCAGGTGAATCATGATTAGAGACATACTTAAGGTAGAGTTATGTGATTAGAAGTCAATAATATTCACTAAAATTAAAAAAGAAAAACCTAATGTTCACTAAAATCAAGTAGTAAAAAAACACGGAAATGATATAACTTACAACCATGGATGTCTTGATCCAACAGAGGACAAGGATGGGCTATAAATTTTATGTATAAATGAACTACTTAAATGGTCTATCTATTTTGACCAAAAAAAAAAAAATGGTCTATCTATTTCTGGCATAGCATTCCAAACACTTGCAAATTTCAAATCTAGTTACAGCTTAATTAATTTATTTCAAATAGTGCATGCTTCTAGCGGAACTTACCATTTGATTGCAGTTTATTAACTACTATTTAATGGAAGAAAAGCAGAAAAAGAGATGGAACAAGCAAAATATGATTGACAGTTCGCTACACCTATTTCATCTGTTGAAGCACAATTTATGCTTTTCTATCATTTAGTTTGTAAACATAGATCGCGTGTTGGAGCATTACTACACAAGTTCAATGCATACATTACATACTTTTAATGCATAATTTGATTATTACCTAGTTAAAATTTGGTGTTTTTCTACTGAATATGTTCGCCGACTACAGCAAGAAGAAAAGCATGCATAAGATAGTAACCAGCATAAAAATGACTAATTGAAAGTTTTCAAATATGCATCAAGGAGGATCATAAACATCCCAATTCGAACTTTGATTCGAATAGTATCACATACATTGTAACTTTAAATAGTACAAACATATATAAATTTCACTCAATCATTACTTGTATCATTCGTGATATTATATATTCGCGAAAGTGTTTAAAATTTAGCGTTAAAAATACTTAAAATATATGGATAAAAGGATAGTATGATTATAAACTCGAGAATTTCAATGAGTATAATCATAGACTGGGGAATTTCAGGGATTAAAAGTGGTTTGTAAATTTTAAATTCACAAGTTCTATAACATTCTTATTTTCCTTCAAGTACTATTATTAATTGCCAGATGATATATAACTCACGAAAGTTCTTTTTTATTATATAAAATAGGGGGGGTTAAATCCACACACGCTTCATACGAAATCCATGCTTAATGCATTTGTTAAACATTATTGATACCCTTAGCTTTTAAACATTTAAATCAAAACTTTTATAGTAATATATTTTATCTTTTCTTGTTCATTTTGTTAAACTTGTTTTTGACACTCACAAATAACCAAAAGGTGAGTATTAGTATGAAGAAGTCAATGAGAAAGCATTTTCTACCTTGAAAAATTACATTTGATTTTATGAAATTGAAATACGTAGATACTGTTGCTTACATCATTATTAGTAATTGAAATTTTTTTTATTGTTAAATTAAATTTTAAATTAATATTCTTACAGACTAGTAAAATATTTGAAGATATTCTCTATAACAATGCAAACATTGGTTTTTCCTCTCTTTTGCTGTGTAAGCCTCTGTTTCTTAAAGCTATAAAAAGCATCAAATAAATTTAAAATTTTAAGGCTATTTTTATCTAATAAATGCATAGGGTGTGGATTTATTATAGAGAAGTGTTGCTTTAACCCCTTCATATGAGAGATTGCACAACAGTGGACATCTAGGAACACGTCAACTCTCAAGAAACTAATTAGCCAAGTGATTATTCAAGCTTGACTTAGTAATTCTTTAAGCTATTGAACTAATTATCAAAAATCTTGAGTGTTTTTTGATACTCTATTTTTTAAATATTATTTTATTTGTATCATAAACATAATTTTTATTCATTTTCTTTATTTTGCATACATCACATCATAAAAAAATTATAATGTAATTCTAAATAATTTTTTCAAATAATCTCCTATTCAAATACACCTAAATTTTTTCTTTTTGAATATTTTCATAACAAAAGAGTAAATAAGAATACACGACCGGTCTTTTACAAATAATAAAGAAACAGTTGCTACAATCTCTTAATTAAATCCTATGCTAATAGTCCCCCGGCCCAGCTGCCAAATGAAAATATATATGTTTCATTAGTAAACAAAAAGTAGGATGACAAAAAAAAAAAAAAGGACCAAGTTGTTATCATGATTAATAATAGCTCAATTTGTTGGATAGCTCAAACAAGAAGTAGGATCGTATGTGTTTGGATAGCTCAATTTTATCAAATAATATTTCATTTATATCATTAATTTTATTTTTAATTTATTTTCTTTTACATTTTTAATTTATTTTTTATATTTTATATATATCACATCATAAAAAATATTACACTAATTATTTTAAATAATACTCTACCAAAGCACAGGATATTAAATAACTGCAGCTACGACTATAAATATATCCTCAACCAGGATTTCGGGCAGCACATTCTGCGTAGCACTTCCCTCCTACTTCAATCACAGTAAAGAGCCAATACATAGTTATAATCTGTTCGTCATCCCACCACAGTTATCGCCACCTATTGGTTTTGGTACTTGATTTTCACAAGCTTTCTAGGTTTCTGAATCCTCATACATTCTGGTGTGTTGTTTTTTTCATTGTTACCTTTTTTCTTCCCGTACCAATCGAATCAAAATGGAAGAAGCAATGAGGAGACTCGGTTGTCTCACCCAAGCACCCGAATCTGACCCTCTCCTTAACACCTCCGCCATTTCCAAGAGATGCACCACCTCAACAGCCAAGAGGTCTCACAAAGACGGTGCTAGTAATAGTGGCACCATGAGATACCGCGGAGTCCGCCGCCGTCCGTGGGGCCGCTATGCGGCTGAAATAAGAGACCCTCAGTCCAAAGAAAGGCGTTGGCTTGGTACATTTGACACGGCAGAGGAAGCTGCTTGTGCTTATGACTGTGCAGCCCGAGCGATGCGCGGTGTCAAAGCTAGAACCAACTTTGTCTACCCTACTTCTCCTTCACATGATACTCTCATCCCTCCTTTTCACTACTCAAAATCATCATCCCAACCAGCCTTTCAATCTTCTCGCTCCAGCCCACATCTTGCTGATCACTTCTCTGGATCAGCAAATCAAAGAAATACCACTAGTAATTCTGTTAACATGCTGTTCTTTCGTGACCTTTTCAACTCTTCATCTACAAACTCATCAATACTTACTTCTTCAAGCACTTTGCCTTTGTATGAGCAAGGACCCTTTGCCGACCTCAACTTCTCCAACTCCCTCATGGGCAATCAATCTTGTAATAACAACCTTACTGCTCCAAAAACCATTGATTCCCTTTCTACTACTTTTAGCCTGCAACGAAAGTTTGACGAATACCAACAAACAGTTTGTTCAGGAGTCCCAACTTCCAGCACAAGTAATAACCAAGTTGAGTGCATGGATTTTTTCCCCTCAGAGCCGTCAGATTCAGGACTGCTGCAAGAAATCATCCAAGGGTTTTTACCGAAAGAGAAAAAGATAGTAAAGTCTGAACCCGAGTTGGCTTTGGTGGATTCTTTTGCTGCTTCGTCTTCTTCTGCAGTTACTACTGATGTTTCCATGAATCTTTCATTGGAAGGTGGCGGGTTGAAGAGGAGGATAGGAGATGCTGCTTATTTGGATTGCCACGTTCCACTTCCACAGCTGTTGGACAATTTCAGTGCTGTTGTCCCGCCACAGCCTATTCCATTTTACAGTGAGATTTATCATCCGGCTGAGAATGTTCAAGGGTCACAAGAATGCATGTTGGGATTGGGAGAAGGATTTCATCAGTACCCGGACCTCCTTGGTGCCTTTGCTGCTGCCAAGATGCAGAATGCTTGAATTTAACTTCTGAAGTTGGTAACTTAGTAATATTTCATTAGATTACCCGTTTTCAGAAAGTCGTAAGCAGGAGTTGGAAAGGTCTAAGGAAATGTTTCCGAATTATCAATTGACTTTCATTTGGCCCATTTCTCTATCCCTTCTGATCCTGACATAAACTATGGACAATACTAGCTTTGTTGCAAAAATTCTCAAGCGAATTCTCCTGCCTTTTTCTTGCTCTACCAGAGGTCTTTTTGTCAGAATTTGATTCATGTCCATACTTGTCACCTTGATTCTTCAAGCCAAAATGAGAAGCTTTTTGTAATGGCATTCGAAGTACTACAGAAGTTTGGCAATGTTAGGACCCTTCGAAGAGTTGACCTTCGAGTTTGGTGCAGTTATTGAAAGTATTTGTCCAGCCTTTTTGGGCTGTTATTTAATTTTCCCATCTTTTCTAGTACTAGGACTACTAGCTGTTGTACCAAAAAGCAGTTGCTCTTTTAATTCTATATGTTAGATTTTGTAGGGCATTGGAATTTCGCAGTCGGGATATGCTTCTTTCTTAAGCACGCTGGGTACTCAGTAGTCAGTACTGAATGCTACTCCAGTTGATTATATATATGATCCTTATGAGCGTTTTAGGGTTTGGTATTATAAGAAAAGGTTTCAAACTTGTTTGTTGACGCTTCCTTTTTTTTTTTTTTCCTCTTCAAATATTCCTTTGCAAAAACTACAAACAAGATGGGCCAATCTCATCACTTGAAAAAAGCTTGCTGATGCTATGTATTTGTTTATCTTTCATAATTTAGAGAACCTGTATTGGTCTGGTTCATGAAGGACTGGCCTTGTAGCCATCTGGATGGTGAACAAAAGCCGAATAATCAACTAGAATTGAAAGAATTTAAAATGAAAATAAAATGAAGACAAAGTAGTAGAACAAAAAAATATATATAATATATAACTACAGGTTAATGGAATTTTGCAGCGCGTAGGTGTACATCCGCGGATTGCCAAACGTTCATTATTGTAATTCATGGCTGGCCTATTACATTAATTACAGTATTAACCCAAGTGCAATTGTACTGCTAATTTCCATGAGGGAGGCATTACAAACGGATAATTGAATGCTTTATGATGACGATCTCAATTTCGAGGTTGCTAACTTGCGTCCACTCATCAATCTAGTTCTGGTGGAGAAAGCCAGAAAGGTCATCCTTACCATCACTTGTTCTCGTTTCAAGAAAAAAAAAAGGATGGCATGCGGATTCACCGATTGTAATGTCATGTTGGTTGGACTTTAAGCATAGACTAAATGAATGTAGAGCGTCTTAGATAGACTCTCTGTTTTTTCCCACACAAGGAAAAAAAGATGCCGGGTGTTTAATTGTCTCTTATGAAATCGTTTGAATTATAGTTCGAGGCAATTTTTCTTACCCACACCAGCAAATTACGGATACTCCCGAAGTAGTAATATACTTGGTCATTTGTTACGTTTTGTCGTGCCGTAACTTCTACTCCCTCCGTTCCACTTTGATAGTCCTGTTTTCCTTTTTCGTCTGTCCCAAATTATAGTCCACTTTTCAATTCAAGAATGTAGTTATATTTTAATTTTCCTAAAATACCCTTATTCAATGTAAGTTGTTGTTACTATAAATCTACTCCATTTAATGAGAGTTTATTCTTTTTTTACCATCAATTCAAGTTCCCATAAAGTTGTACTCTAATTAATGTGAGGATATTTTAGAAAAATAGTTACCTAAATTGATTGTTCCAACAAAGTTAACTATTTTTTCTTAAACTGTGTGAAAAAAGAACCAGAACTATCAAAGTGAAACGGAGGGAGTATGAAATTTTAGAGAAGTTAAAAGTAAACTGAATTATTTAATTAGAATGTTTATTATTGTCCGGACCGGATGAAAACAGAAAAATAGCACACTATTAAAGTGAGGCCAAGGAGTAATATATTTTGTCATTTGTGACGTTTTGTCATGCTGCAATTTTTATGAAATTTTATGCAAAGGTTTCTTAACCATGCGTAGGAACAAGGACAATTTTAAGTGTTGAACTTGAATCAGAAAGTGTTATTTAGCTTTTCCGAGTATCAAAACTCCAAAAATAGGTTATCATGTGTGGGTTTGGGGGGCACGATGATGCGCTGTCCGTAATCAATGAAGCCACTATATACGCGGATGAATGCCATTTCCAAAATTTAATTACCCACTTGCATGAGATTTTTTTTTTTTTAGACACTCCACTTGCATGAGATTTAATGCTCGGGGTTCAATTAACTGGATCCACCAGTTCCGAATCGGCGAATCCTGCCGACTACAGGTTAATTATGTAACTGAGTAGGAGTTTGGACCATTGTGATTAAATTAAATACAGCCTAATGCAACGGTAGACGCAACTATGGACTTGTTGCTCAATTCTATTAATACTACTCCAAGATCGGATTGTTATGCATTTCTGGAATCTTCGTGAAGATTAAGAGTTACGGCCACAAACGAGTTGAGTCAAGTCGACCTTTGATCTAATCGAACCGAGTCTCGATTTAATTTTAGTAAATTCGACCTCGAACTCAAGCTCGACGTACTTTCACTATGAATCTCGAGCTCCACTTCAAATTCGAACCAAATTGAGCTTATTTTTTAAAAAATGAATAAATTAATATTTTTTCTTAATAAATAGTCAATATTATGAATATATATGTAATTTTATTATTAAAATAAAAATTAAAAATATACGTATATAAAATTGAGTCAATTCGCGAACTACTGAATTGAATATCTTTGAATTTGAATTCAACTTGACCAGTTCAAACTCGAATCGAGTTCTTTGTTAATCGAGCTCGAATTAAACTTTGACTCAAATTGCTCGTGAACGGCTCGACTCGTATGCAACTCTACTAAGAGCGACTACTGCAGTATTGGTTGGGGAACTTGCTGGAAGGTAACCAGAACACAACCATTGGGTAATGGTCGGAAGAGTCTCTTAAAACCCTTTATAGACAAGTAGTACAATTGTCTGATCAGGACTGGACCAATTAAGCGAGTATTTTGTTTTTGGTTAGAAAACTTGAGTTCCTTTTGATTCCATTTTGTTCCAGCTTTTTCCAAACATCTATAAAAGGAGAAAGAACAAAAGAAGTGTAAATAATTGGAACAGGATCGTTAAATTTTTTTAAAAAAATTTGTATTTTACAAAAGCACCTCCAGTTTTCCTTTCGCCGTTAGTCTTTTATTTTACATTTTTCAATCTAAGCTATTCTGAAAATATTATAAAGCAAGAGCAACTTCTAGATAAATTTAAGTGATGAGAGAATTTGAAAAAAAAAAAAAAAGAAGCTTCTATCCTTTTCTTTCTACAGGAGACAAATTCAATAACATGATATATTCCCACGTTTTCCAGGTGCTAACATGGATGAAAAAGCTGCTTTTTGTACTTTTTTAACTGTTTCTTGGGCTTCAATAATGTCAAAGATTTTATCTGAAGTTTGAGACGCTGTAGCTGGGAGGGGAGTTTGATAATTCAGTTCCAAATGGCAGAGATACATTGGCCCTTCAGTTATGCATTTATTTCTTTATTAAAACCTCTAATTTCTTTCCCGTGTAGATTAGCATGTGCTATATTTCTTTCCCGTGTAGATTAGCATGTGCTATAGTTAATACTCATCATTACACCTTCTAATCTCTGCTCCTTTTTTAATGTGAGATCTAGTTTGTTAGTAGGTGACTATTTATCAATTTTTTATATTTTAAACAGATATCTCTTGTAATTTCCCAGTTGGATGAGCTTATTGTGAAAAACGTAATTCAGTTTTCAAAGGAAATTAGAAGTCATTCATTTATTAAAATTAATTAGCACGTCGAAATTTTCAGTTAGAGGCACATGAAAACTATTCTCTCTCTCTTTTTTTTTTTTTAAAATTCATTTATGCGTATATAATTAAAAATTTAAATGAGATAGTTTGCAACATAATTTCAAAGTGTATGCCACCAACATGCCGGCGTCTACTCCCGAGCGAAGATGACAGAGATCTTAGAAACGTCCTAGTATACTTCATGAAAGGAGCCTTTCATTGGACCGTGCCATTATTTTGGGCCAACTAGGCCCAGATATGCTTTTAGCCTTTGCAAACTGCCTCGCGTCAAGCGGTAAACGTTAATTCTTGTTAAGTTTCATGGATTTGTTCCTCTATGTGAACTCGTACTTAATTAAGTTGAAGGCCCACTTTTTTGGGCTAACACATCCACAATCCATCATCTCCCATCTTTTAGGATCCGTATTGATTAGGTATTTTTAGAAGTGTATACCAAAAATTTTCATAATAAATGTATATCATCTCCCATACTATAGTTTTGTATACCAAAAATTTTCATAATAAATGTATTTTGAGATATTTTTAAAATTTAAAATTTTAGCAGGATGTTTTTAAAAATTTTTATCTTTTTTTTTTTTATCTTTAAAATTTTTTATCTCAACTACCTAACACCACCCATCACCGCCACTATTTTTTCCTTCCTTCCTCTTCCACTGCCACTCCCTTCTTCTTCCTCCTTGTTTTTCCCTCTTTCTCTTCCTCCTCTCCTTCTCCTTCTCTTCTTTTCTCCTTCTCCCTCTTCCTCCCATTTCTTTTTTTTTTTTTCATTTTCCTCCGTCTTCCCCTCCTTTCCCCTTCCCGCCCTCTCTTTTCTTCCCCTTCCTCTAGTTGTAGCGGTGGTGGTTGTGACCAAAAAAAAGGGAAGGAAGGAGAGAAGGGCTATGCCATCTGGACCACGACTAGACTAGATCTAGTCATGATAGTCGTGATCAAAGGAGGAAGAGAGGGGAGAGGGGTTGCATGTTGTGACAAGACTACGACTAGATGAGAGGGAAGGGAGGGAAAGGGAAGTTAAAGGAGGAAGAAGGAAGGAGGAAGAGAAGTAGTGGTGGCAGTAGAGAAGGGAGCATGGGAAGGGTGATGGCAGTGGGAGGTTATGGTATGTTGTAAGTGGTCGTGGTGGTGGTAGGTAAAATGTGCTAAGGGAGGCCTCAAAAAATTTTTTTTTTTCAAAAAGTGGTGTATCGTGTTATTTGTGTTTAGTTTACGTAGTATTGAAACTAAACCGTAATTACGTATGCATATTGGTGTCTGAAAATAAAAGAAAAAGAAAATATAGGAAAAAATTAGATAGTATTGAAACTAAACCATAATTATGTATGCATATTGGGGTCCAGAAATAGAGGAAAAAGAAAACAGAGGAAAAAAGTTAGAGATAGTTGAAATGCAAGTTGGATAATAGGATTATTTTTTTTATGTATACATTATTACCTAAGGGTACACAACAACTAATTTTAATTTTAATTTAAAATTCAAATTTAAATTCAAATTTTAGATATGTATCATGCATCTAAACATACTA